CATGAAGGAAAGCCGGATAATGCAAGGTCAATCTTTTATGATGTGGTATATCAAGTTCCAGTTAAGAGATGAGTTAAAAATAACACACATTTTCATTGTCTTGCACACTCCTTAAATCCAAGGTGAAACTTTCTTTTTAGTTTTTACTCTTAAAGCACATTTTTCTTTTATTGAGGTGGTTTTGATATCTTCTAATTTTACAATGAGCAATGTTACATGGACTTAAAAAGTAGACTTGATAATTACAACAATTGATTTCACTGTGGGTCCCAACATTTATTGGGATCCACTACTTGTTCAATGGTTAGGATTATCAAGTCTAGTTTTTAAGTCTATCTAGCATTATTCTTTTACAATATAGGTATTATAGTGTATAGTGGCTAAATGAAAACCCCAATAGTGTTCCTCCTCACAAGGAGGAAGATATTTCATCTATCACCAACTTCTAGGAGATGGCAATTTTTCCATTCTACAACCCCTTACCTTTATGTTAGGGGGGCTTGTGGAGGAGTATTTGCACATGAGGTCTAATTGATGAATCAAAGAATTCCATGGTCTATGAAAGACTTCCAAAAAGCATTAGAGATGAACTCTCCTCCATTTCACTTTATTTGACAGGGGCGGAGAATTCTCATAGATTTCCCTATTTGAGAATGAAGAGTCAAAGGGGGTAAAGAAACAAATGCTTTCACAGATACTTTCCAAATCCACGAGAAAGAATGAAGGCTAATACTGAGTATACTAAGTTCTCTGGTTGTTTGGATCAATTCGGAGAACACGTCTCAAGAGTATATCGAGGATTAATGGACCCTCTCATGTGGTGGTTTTCTCATGGGTCTCCTACGGTGAAAGAAATTAGAGTAATTACTCTTTCAATACTTCCATGAAAAGGAACAAAATGACACAACTTCGTGCCCAAGATTTGATTTTTGTACACAACAATTTTTGTCTCTTATCAAGGAGGAGTAAACAATACATGAAAGGAGATACAAAGCTATGAGACATTGGTGGAGATGCATTTGATTCATTGGAGGGTGTTGGGTTGCTTGAAGTTGCGAGTCTTTCACTTGATGAGCTAAGATGAAAGCTATGTTGTTCTAAGAAGGACGGGATAGAAATGAAGATAATGTTAGGGAAACGTCTTAGTAACAAGAGGGGACTGTTTTCTTGCTTGACTTGTAATAGGATAATATTCCAAATTGCAAGTTTTTTGTTGCTTGACTTGTAATCAGATGGTTTCTTTTGTTTAAGCATGGACTTGATAATATGCAAGGATCAAAATTTCATTGCGGTGTATTATTTCGGTCACCTAACAAATGGAAACATTTCGATGTGTTTCAAAAAAGTTTCGACCCATTTCAAAAACATAATGAAAAAAATAAAAAATTTAAGAATTATTTTTCTAAACCATTGATTTAAATATATAAAAGTATCTTGAAATACCTTGAAACATTCTAAAACAATTATGCAAATGCATTGAAATATTATAATACATCTCAAAAAATTATGAAATACCTCAAAATATTAGAATTTCAATTCTATCATTAATTTGTTTCGATCTCCTTGAAAATAGAAACGTTTTAGATGTTTCGACTGTTTCGATCCTTGACAATATGTGATATAAAATGTATAATTAATGAATGATAGAATAGTTAGTTATTATTATATATATTTCATAGATGTGTGATTTACTTTATAAATTATAATTATTATATTAAATATAATAATAAAATTTTAAAAAATATATATTTTATAGACGTATCTAGGGATGTCAATAGGTCGAAGTGGGGGCGGGCGGTATGATCTTCATCCCTGTACCCGCTTAAAAAATCTTCGTTCATCCCCGGTCCACCCCCATTAACGGGTATAATTTTCATCTCCATCCCCGTCCGCAGGTAAATTTCTAATCCCCGTCCCCATCCCCGCTTCCCCCGTACCCGCCTAAGCCTAAACCCAAGTCTGGTCCTTTTTCATGTATTCTTTTCCTGGTCCTTTTTATAGAGCCACATAATCCATTTTGGCTTATGCGTGAAAACCTGTGGTCTATGGGAACTCAAATGCACATTCCATCAGAACACTAATTAATAGCAATACCATGTCTTCAGAGACATCATGGGGAATTTTGAAACAACCCAAAACTCCAGACAAAACTAACCCTCCACACATATGGATCAAAATTGGCTCTTTTCATGGTATGATTAACCAAATCCAATCAACACAACATACACAAAAACATCAGAACCCATTATTTACAATTCAACATCTCCATTAGTCAATCAATTTTCAATACACACACAGCGATCAAGCACAACCCTAGATTCAATTGACAGTCTAATAATCATCGACTTTCAATAAATCCTCTCCCGATTATCAATTGAAAACCACCATTTGGAAACTCTAATCGCAACGAAAATTCAGAAACCACATCATAAATCCAATCCACAAAGACATTACAATTGAAATCAAGAAAAGCACTAATTATCATACTAATCCAGAATCCAATGCATTATAATCAGATTAAACCCTAATTCTAGAAATACTTCACAATAGCGGAAAACAAAGAAAAGAAAAGAAAGCTATGAAAAATTGCTGACCTTATTACAGCACTCTCTGTCTCTCAAATTGAGAGATAGAACGCTATTTGCAGCAGATCTGTAAGCGTTCTATCTCTATTTACACAACACTCTCTGACTCTCTCCACTTATTCTTCGCTTGGAATAAGGACGCAATCACCAATCAGCGATCAGTGAGCTACTGAGAGAGAGAGAACGATGAGTCGATGGTGGAGGCAGACGGCTAATAGAATAAGTTAGGGCTTAGTGTTTTTAGCTGAAAGTATTTATATATATATATATATAACGGGTAACGGGGACGGGGACGGGGGTAAGGGTAAGTCCATCCCCGTCTTTATCCCCACACGGGTTTATATAGGTATTCCCGTATACGTTCACCGTCCAATACGTATAATATATCCCCGGTCCAAACGAGACAAGTTTGGACGAATACCCCTTTTTCCCCGATCCACTGCCATCCCTAGATGTATCCTAGCCGTACCCGTACCTTTATTTTTAAGTTTTGCCCTATCGCCGTATCCATATCATATTGTATCATATCCATATCCCGTATCCGTATCCGTGCTTCATAGATGTCAAAAAGTTCAACAGTAGAAGTTAAATAAGGTTCCATGTTAAACCACAACCAAGTCATTACCTGAGAATTCTCAATCCACCGATCTTCATAATTCTTGGAGTCCACTGGGGTAGGACTTTCAACCAGATACTACAATTATGTCTATTCAATTTCATAACTATGACTTGTCTAACTTGATCATCCACCAAATGATTTTTGGTATCCTCAGAAATAGCCATGGAGAGGTTCTCAATCACCAATGATCAACAAAAACAATATTCAATCAAATAACTGAGAAAAACACACCAAAGTCGATCCTATACCCCAAAATTAACCAACCAATCATAAGGATCTGAAAGGCCTACAATGGATAACCAGATCACTCCTGGACAGAAAACCTGAACCAATCCAAGCCCCAAAAATGCTAGGCCGGACGCCTTGATAGTGCCACAACAAGAATCCACCAAAGAACAACTCAAATGAGTATGGGTCAACCAAAAACAACTTCTAGGACCTTTGTCCGATGTCTCGGTGTGGAACAAAGCATCAAACTACAACAAATTACCCTCAAAAAACAGATCAAAAAATTAGTTCCCATACCAAAAATTATTGAAAAATGGGAAAATATACCCAAGTGACCCCAAATTTATTTCAAAAATCATCACAATTATTACTTCAAAATATAAGCCAGGAGGAAGGTTTCTAGTGCCCGAAGTTACTGGCATTAACAACAGAAATGGTCTCTGGAGGTTTTCTACTGAATTTTTTATTATAGATTGTCTCAAATTGTTGCTTTGATACCACGTCAAATAGTGAAACTGGTATTAGGGTTTGAGAAAGAGAATGAGAAGAGAGAGAAAAGAATAATGTGTATGAATTGTGTTGCCCTACACTCTCACGTTGAATGATTTGGCCACCCAAGATTGGTTTATATGCTTAAGAAACCTCTCTACCTATTGCCAACTGGTTTTGGGATGGAGGCTCTAACATGATTTCAGAGCTAGTAACAGAGTGGCCAATGGGTCAAGTCTTTTCACCATTTGAATTTCCTGATATGCATATTTATTCGTTTTTTGGTAGCCCTAAGGTAGTCCGAGTCCCACATGAGTGTGGGTTTAAAGGGAGCTTGTGTCCTACATTGAATGATTAGGGCTACCCAAGGTTAGTGTACATGCTTAAGAGGCCTCCCCAGTCATTGCTAATTGATTTTGGGTTAGATGTTTAAATATGGTATCATATTAGAGCTAGACCTTGGGTAATTGGAGGCTACACTCTTGTCCATTTAAATTTCCAATCTATTTATCTGTATATTTCAATTGTGTTCATTAGCCCAAGTGCAAATTCGAATAGCGCACGAGGGAGGGTTTGAAGAGAGCTATCCCACATCGATAAATTAAGTAGACCCAAGTTAGCTTATATAATTAAGGACCACTCCACTCATTCTCAATTAGTTTTGAGTTGGATATTCTACACATTATCAAAATTGGACCTTGGGTGGTCAATGGCTTGTCTTTTAGCTATTTGAATTTTCCAATATGTATATTTGTCTATTTGTTTGATAGCCCCTTGTGCTAGTCCAAGTCCCATGTAAGGGTGGGCGTAAAGAGATCTTGTAACCCATGTTGAATGATTAGGGTCACCCAAGGTTGATTTATATGCTAAAAGGGCTTAAGGAGCCTCCCCTTGCACTGCTATTTGGTTTTGGGTTAAATCCACCGACAAACATAATACACTACGTTCACACAACCCATACACCAAAAAACACAAAAAGAACTACATGATTACCTAGTGAATGTAGTAGGAACACTAACTTCATGTTGCGATGCAAATGAATTGTCTACGTAATTTATGACTTAATGAGGAGATATAACTCAAGGTTTAACAAAGTCAGAATAAAGAACTACATTACAACAACCCACACTAGAAAATACTAAATTCTTCGCCAGATGCACCTACAACAAGATCCAAATGGACAAAAATAGAATTTTGAAAGTAAGAAAAAAGCCATGAAATTAAGAAAGGATTATCGTATATCAAACAACATCAAAATTGAAAACCCTTAGAACCATAAAATAGACAAATGGGCTCTGTCCTTTAATGTCTATATGGTAGGCTATGCTGAGTGAATAATGAGGAAAATATATAATAATAATAAAAAAAAGGATGAAAAAATATTGTTTAATCTAGAATAAAGTTTTAGGGCCAGGGTTTGTTTGGGTGCTATCATTATGTGCAATGATGAGAGAGAGAGAGATGATAATTGGCTTATTGTACAATGACTGCTTATCCTATAATGGGGAGACCAAACTATGCACTAATGAATGAGAAGTTACAATAGTACCCCTACTAACAATAATTCTAGAAACTTTAAAACTTTTAATATTTAAATAAATGATAATATCTCTAGTGGTCGCCCCGTGCAAGGCACAAAATTGATAATATCTCTTCATCACCACCGTCACCCTACCTCCAGCTCATTCTAATAGTATGAAAAAACTACTTACTAATGTACTAAACTGATATTTTATCTAAATTTAAATGCAAAGTAATTAATAAAGAAAATGAGAAATTAAAATGTGAAGTAGTTATCAAAAAATTAGAAGTAATTACCTATGCCCCATGTTGGAATTCAATTGTAGGAGACCAATTAAATGATTCAAAATTAGGAGAAAACTTCTTAAGCACTCTCTCTTCTAAATTAATCCTTTTAGTATATAGTATAGATGGATGGAGGCATGTGTCACATAGTGTTCTAGACACGTCCTTTTCAAGTAACCAAGGACAATAAGATTCCAAATGCAAAGTAACCAGAACATTGTTCACAAAGAAGTTCACTGCTAGTCCTACTCAAGGTTTCACCAAGCAAACTTTGGATGGCTCAACAAACAAGGTAAATGTTGATGACAGCAACAAGGACAAAAACAATTTAAGATATTACAGATTTACACTATGTTAAACACCAAGCGTTTATCCAGCTTTGTTTTGTTTTCTCATAAAAGTGAAATGACTACATATCACAATTTCAACTGATTCTAAAACCATGCTCCCACAGCAGGCGCATTATAAAGTAGAATAGCCAGACATGCTTTCATGCAATTAATACCTCGTGTTTGTAGAGCTCAAGAAAGATCAGAACAGCGTTCATTACAGAAAATCCCATCTCATAAATCGCCTTCTGCGTGCGAGGTTCCGATGCACTAGCAGCACCTCGAAGCCGCTCCAACAAACAACAGACCTGTAGCATGTCATAATGTTGTGATTGATTGTAAAAAGAGTTTGTATCGCACATCAAACGATTATGATCATCCAAGGTTGGTTTATGTGATTTAGTGGTCTCTCCCCACATTGTTAATCTGTTTTGAGGTTGATGCTCTAACATGGTATCCAGCTCAAGCCTTGGGTGGTCAGTGGTCTCTTTTTCATTTCTTGGTATACATGTTTACCTATTTGTTTGTGAGCCCCGCGATCAAGGCCGGGTCTCACATGAAAGAGGGTGTAAAGAGAGCTTCTAACCCACATCGAATGATTAAGATCAGCCAAAAGGGCCCTTTCAACTCCTTGCCAATTGGTTTTGAGTTGGGTCCTCTAATAGTGATAGCCATTGTTCATGACTACTAACATAGGAAATGAAAATGAATTTGTAGCACAAGTTATGTCCTTACCAACAGGATAACATCTGGCTGTTGGACAACCTGTTTGAGATCATTCTTGCCAGACATTTCCACTAGATAAGACACCATATGACCCATGAGACCCCTTACATACCTGCCAAGAATGGTAAGCCGAGATCAGGCCATATGCCATTACAAAGAAAAAAATCAAATATATACCCACTGATTGGAAGCCTCTGAAGTTCTCATGCCAGAAGCTGAAAGAACAAGTGTTTGAGCTAGTGAACGCTGAAAGACAAAAAATTATTATCAACATTATGCAGTTTCTAAACTGAGAATAACGATATGGCCATCTCTTGGTCAGAGGGAAAAGGGAGAGGAAGGAAATGAGGAAAAGGAAATGATAGGTAAAGAAAGGAAAGAGGGAGGGAATTCTTTTTATTTGGAAAGAAAATAGGAGCAGAAGGGTCCTATGTTTCTTAGTTTTTCTCTTTAAACAACACCCTCGTGCTAAATTGCAAGGGCATAATGCGAAGATAAAGTAACCCCTTTCCCTTGCCCCTCGTTTCTTTCCTACTCAATTAAAACAAAGAGGGAGACATGATATAGGATGAAACCTTTTCATTCCTCCTATCTTCCCTGCCTGTCCATTTTCTGTCTTCTTGACCAAAGGAAGTACAAGAATTCTAAGTACTTACTTGGTGAGCAGAATTTAATGAGAACAAGATTCTTTCATTCGAAAAAGCATTTGCTAACTCATGCCATGACTCCTGCAGATATAAAAATAGGAGGATTTCATAGAAATCATTACAACTAACAAGATATCTCCAAATATTGGGGTTCATACAATAACTACAAAAAAGACATCCCACTGTAAAAAAAAGCAGCACTCGTCTAAATCCAAATGTTCTAAAAACATCAATTACAGAAGGTTAAAATTCATCCCAATAACCTTAATGCAAGGATCAAAATTGCAATGCTTTCCACCAACATGACCCAAATGTTTCTATTTCTTGGAAACCAAAATGAAATAGTGGTTGAATATGAAATTCTAATGTTTCAAGGTGTTATATTTCGAGATGTTTCAGGATGTTTCGACCCATGTTTAGGGATGTTTCGGAAACAAATTTCCAAAAAAAATCTCTCTATCGACTTTATTTCCAAAATATTTGTGAAACATTTTCGACACATTTCCGCTTTCGAGCTGCCTAAAACTATATATCGAAATGAAATTTTGACCCTTGCCTTAGACTTGTACATTCAAACCTGGCAGCCACTTTGTATATATAATATGAAAGGTTATGTTCTACCACTACAAGGCCCCGTGAATAAGGTCCTACGAAGCACAAACACTTCATCAAGGTTGAAATACCAATATCTAATACACATCGATATGGATACACCTTGTATTTGACCAAATTGATACCAACTATGGTTGAATACGTCTTCGATAATTTAAAAATCACTTTTAATTTTAAATACATTTGGGATATACCGAGGATACGAGATCAATACCCTTGGCATACGTGGGGATACTTCGAGGCTAAAAAAAACCAATTGCTAATTCATAAAACGCCATTAAAATAAATAATTGAAGCAATTAAAATAAATATCATTCAAAACAAAAATCCATGAGTTCGTCTATGAAACAATATAATCTTGACCTTGCTAGAGTTCTTATTTAATGTTAATCATGTTAGGTAATATTGTAATTTACTCATATGCTATAAATTTATGAAGCACAAATATGGATATGAGATACGAATACGATACGATATGGATACGGCGATACGACAAAATCTAAAAAAAAAAGATATGGGTACGGCTAGGATACGTCCATAAAATATTTTTTTTTTAAATTTTATTGTTATATTTAATATAAAAATTATAATTTATAAAGTGAATCACACATCTATCAAAGATATATAATAATAACTGACTAGTCTATCATTCAGAAATCATACATTCATAAAATCTTATTTGTTTTTTTTGCAAATAAAAGCCCAAACATATTTGCTTTGGTGCCTCTATTCTTTTTTAAAAATTGTAGTACTACCCAGCCGTATCTCCGACGTATCCCTACGTATCTTGAAGTTATATGAGTATGGGTGGATGTTGTATGAGATTGAATAAGTAGGAATTAAAAAAGGATTGAATTGGGGGCAAACTGAGCTCTTCTACTGGTAGAACGTTGATTATCTACCGGTAGAAAAATTCAGAGAACTCTTCTACCAATAAACCATACACGATCTACCGGTAGGTCCTTCGAAATTTCCAAAAATTTAAAATAATTTTGTCAAGCCATCGGGCCTTGAGTCCTTTTGTTCAAAGGATGTAAATGGAGTAATATTAAGGATAAATTGATGTATGTTGGATCTTGAAATGGTGAAGTCATTGAAATGTATACAGATTATGCATTTGGGAGTGCCTGGTACAAGGGAGACTCTGCCCAAACTCTGTGTTGTTTATGATCTCAATGAAGGGGATGTTATGTTGTGGTGTCGGACTATGCGGCATTCACGGGTACTTCTGTGAGTTCATGGGTGATCAACGGATTGACAAAAGACTCACAATTTTAAGGGGGTCACACTATTGATTGTATATTTATTAGCTATGCAATAAATAGTAGTGCGTATCATTTTCTCGTGCATAAATATGATATTCCTGATATACATGTCAATACAATTATTGAATCCAGAAATGTATCATTCTTTGAAAATATATTTTCTAGTAAAAAATGCATATGATGAAAATTCTCTTAAAAGAACTCATGATACTGCGACTAGTAATATATATCCAAAATTTAAATTTATTTTTTTTAATTCTAGGATACTTTCCAACTGTGTCAGACACGTATCCAGCCATATCGGACGCGTATCCGTATCCAAAAAGTATCCAATACCGATACTTTAACCCTTTTGAAGTATTTATGCTTCATAGCTATAAATAAATAAAGAATTTTTGCACTTTAAATCCCGAAAGATATGTCGATTCCCACTTTATACCCCAAAAGATTATTTTTTCCACTTTACACCCTGAATATAATAAATTAGTTCCAATGTGGCCCACCATCCAAGAATATGAATGGTGAGTTTATATTTTTGTCTAAGAACAACACACGTGGGTGGCATGTGCATCAAATTTTAATAGAATTTGAAAGGGATGTTACTTCGAGGGCCACATTAAAACCAACTTATGATATTTTGAGTGCAATGTAAAAAAAATAATATTTCAGAGTGCAAAGTGAAAATCGAAACATCATTCATGATGCAAAGTGTGAAAAGCCCAATAAATAAATTAGGTGTAGACAATAATCAAAAATATCGTTTCAAAACGGAAAAAACACCCGAAACATTTCCGGTTTCAAGGAAACCGAAACGAATCAAAAATGGAATTGAAATTCTAATACTTAGCGGTGTTCTATAATGTTTCAAAATATTTTTTTCTATTTCAATGCATTTGCACAATTATATCTGAATGTTTAAAGGTATTTCAAAATATTTTTGTATATTTCGACCAATGTTTTGAAAAAATAATTCTTAAATTTTTTATTTTTTTCATTCTATTTTTGAAATAGGTTGAAACGTTTCAGAAATATGTTAAAACATTTCCATTTCCTTTTTTTGCCTTTTCCTTTATTTTTTTCTTATTCCAATTCTTTGTTTCTAGACAAAGATATGACCGGTGAATGTGTTGGTGCCCTCCAATGGTGAATAGTGGTTGTGGGTGTTGAGTTTCACAATGAGCTAAAATTTGTTGATTGGAAACATGCGATGACTAGGTGTTGATTGGAAACATGTTGAAACATCGTTTCTTGATTCTTTGTAGTTTGTTGCAAATAAGTTGGATTTGTTGTTCGAATATAATTAGCGAGCATTAGGGGTGGTGGTTGTTGTGTTAGCTCGTGGCCATCGTTATTGGATTTGGTCGCCGATGTCACATGCGTGTCACCCACAATTCAAGGTCGTGGTATCAGTCTTCGACTCAAAAGGTACTGAGACACATTGGTCGCGGCATCAGGGCACAGTATTAGCCAATACGCTCAAAACGTTAGATAGAAGGCACAAAAAAATATGTAAAAATCAAAAAAAATATAATCATCATCATTTATGCATTATATTCACAAAAAAAATATTTAACTCATTAAACATAGTGAAAATGAGTTATAAGGAGGCATTGTAAATATCAGATTAAGAATTAAATATCACTAAATTGTTAAGGTTTAAATAAATGTTACTATGATTATTTTTAACATTCTACTATTTAATGTTAAAAATTTTAAAAATAACAATAACAACAAATATGTATCTTAAATTGTAAATGGGATAAATAAATTAGACCCCATTACTACTTAATATAAATGTCAAATTAATGTAGATTTATTTTTAGTTTTAAAATTTATGTGAAAAATAGAAAAATATGTTGTCCATGTAATTTATTTTTATATCTAATTACATATCAGTATTTTATGTGTAATTATTATATTTTTAATTACATGTACAAAACTAACGAAAGTATCAATTTAATAAGGAATTAGACTAGAAAATAAAAACTAAAAAAAGAAGGGTAAATCACATAAATGGCCCCTGAACTTTTCTATTTTTTTTAAATTGCACCCTGAACTTTATATTTTTTGATTTTACCTCCTGAACTATTTAAATCATTTTAATCAACACCTTTCGTTGGATTTCACCATTAACTAAGGATAAAACTCAAACGGCAAATGCAGATGGCATATATTGAAGGTCATTTTCAGCATTTCACCTATTGTGTAAGGGTCTTAGGCGCCAAAATTCCCTGCCTTGATGCTTTGTTCCTAGGCGTAGTCCCTTCATCTCCTACATTCAACAACAGAAGCACAATATCTTGGTTAGGGTTAGGGTTTTGTGTTCCTAATTCTCATATTGACTGAATACTGTAAATAGGTGGACCTTTCATCTCATTCCCATCTCCTAATCATCTCCTACATTCAACGACTAACTAAACCACAATGACTTGGTTATTGTGGACAACAAGTGTTATCTTCCATCCACAACAAGTCTACAGTAAGTATTGCATCTCATACCCGTAGCTTTGGTTGTTTGGTGTTGGGTATTGGGTATTAAACTAATTTTCGTGTTATTAACTTTTTGGTATCGGGTATTAGACTAATTTTCATCATGTTGGCTTTTCAGTGTTGGGTATTGGGTTTTATGTATTGTGTTCCTTAAAGAAATCGGGTGTTAGGTAGTGTTATTGGGTGTTGGGTATTGTGTTCCTTACAGAATTTGGTTGTTGGATACACAACGCTAATTCTATAAGGAATGCATTATTTAATTCATATTTTGTTGGATTTTTCTATATTGATTGTCAGTATTTGACTGCAATTTATTCTTGTGTTGGCTTCACAATGCATGAGCAGGTCTGGACCCAAATTTTTTCACTATACAGATGCATTATGGTGGTAAATTCAAGCATATGCCCCGCAAAACATATTAAGGAGGGAGAGTTAACCATTTTAATTTGTGTGATGTTGATAAGATCTCTGTCCCTGAGATAAGTGAAATGACAAAAGAATTACAGTGTGAGGTGGTTACTCGTTATAACTATAGAGTTCCTGGAATGAATCTCACTGATGGTTTGAGGGTGTAAAATGATGACAATGATGTATTAGGAATGTTAGAGTTGATTCCCAAGAACAAGGTAATAGAAGTATACCAGGAACATGACTTGGTTGATGAAGATGCACAGGAAGAATATGATGCACAGGAAGAGTATGATGCAGTTGATGGTGATAATTCCGATGCATCAAATTATGAAGAAGTGTCTAACAGTGGTGAGGAAGAAACTAATGATTACTTATTTG